AAGATGAGACCGAAGCAGCGAAAGGTTAGATATACAAAACCCAGAAAGCAAGGAGTCTTTAAATGCTGTGCTTTTTTTTTTTGAGAATTGCAGCCTACAATGCAGTTCCTCTGCTTCATGTTTGCTCTGAATTAAAAAAAAAAAAAAAAAGCAGTTTCATATTCTTAAAGAACCAGTTTTATAGAGAAATCTATTTACGTTAACACGATAGATTGCATCATGCTATATAAATAAAACCTTATACTGTGACACAAGGATCTGCTAGGAAACTCAGAAATTCAATTGAAAGAGATGCTGTGAAAAATCTGCAAACCTGAACACCAAGGAGGAAAACGATACAAAGAAAACAGAACATGCTTCTAGACATTTTACAGATAAAAATATGTACAAATAATAAAGGAACAACAACAACAGCAAAAAGCCTTACCATGATGTTTGCACAACTGTGTGTCTGTAGCCCATGCTATAAATGTGGGTACCTTCTATTCCCATCATCTCAGCCCCTCTAGTGGCCAGTACCTGAAGATCTTGCCTTCAGGAGGGACAAGATCTATCAGTATGTACCATTTGCTGCTGCTCCTGTATCTTGCTGGAGATTTTTTTCTTAATTGTGTAATTTTTTCTGGAGATATAACTTGTCACCTTTTATTAGCATTTCTGTCAGTGCTGCTGCTACGTGCATACATTTAATTGCTAAGCAACAAAGGGTAAGCTCTGCACAGCACATTCAATTACTGCATTCCCTGTGCCATGCATTGTTACCAGTGCACTTACATAATATGAAATACAAAAAAAAATGGTAAAAATATTTACTTCTGTTTCCATAGCATCTAGAAACCACAATCTGGAATCAGGCTCCATCATGCTAGCCACCAGGCAGAGAGCTAACAACTGAAGATGGGCACAAGTGAACTGATGCAAAGTGGAGAAAAGTTACAAAAGTAGAGCTGAGTTTTAGCACTTGCATAGATGAATAGCCTAAACTTAAGGCCCAAAGGTGACTACCCACCTACAGCTAGACTGTCGTGACTTTCAAATATTAGGGAACTATCCCTGTGGCTAAAATTTGTCATGTACTTGGGGCATTTGTAAGCATGGTGGCCTCAAGGGGCAAAGCAATAACATGTTGCAAAAGCTTTTCAGTTTGGAAGGAGAGATACATCTGCACTGTATCAAGAAATAATCTCTCTTCCCTTTCTTCTTTAAGGTGTAGAAAAAACAGGGCAGGCAGTATTTTCTCACTAAAAATTGCACTTCACTATTTTTCCTATCCAAATGTACGTTTGCCCCTGTAATTGAAGGCTACTGCCTCTGAAATGTGAACATGGATTATTTCAGTTTACCATAACGAAGACTGCAATTCTATCTTTCATTTATTGAAGAATAAATATGTTTACCAAAGAGTTCTCTTTACTCCTGAAATGTAAAAGGACAGTGATCCATAGATGCTCTTGTCATGATTACTAGCCATTATGCCCATCACAGTCAGGACTGCATTTCTAAATAGTGCCTTATCTGCAGTATTCAGTGGGAAGAGCAGCTTGGAAAATGAAGCCATTATTGAGTAGGTGTAAAAACTTGCACAACCACATACAACTATTCTTATTTCTGTACTTGGGAATTTAGTTGGGAATTCTGCAGATGGGAATTTAGGTATTGGGCCTGACTCTTGCTGCGTCCCTTTGACATCTACCAAGTAGCCCAAATGGGACGCAAGCTGGCTACAAAGAACCAGTTGGGAAAACCTGGTAGAATCCCCTCCAACTTTATTTCAGGGTTCTACATACCAAGAATTATATCAGATGTACTTTAAGACAGGTATCTGGTCTATTAGTCCCAAGGATCAAGAGAAGTGCTAGGAAAATAGGCAGTTGGTATTAAATCATGGACAGTCATATACACAGTCCTGCCAAACAGCACCAATATTTCCTCTGGGTTCCAACATTTTTACACACAAAGAAACAGAACTTTTATAATAGCTAATGAGTCCTGTCTCTTTTGGAGGAACTGAGACAAAGGCTGTGGTTGTGTTCTGGGCACACCATCCCTTATACTCCCAATGGGAAGACCAAACAGCATTCTTCTAAATGAACCACAGCAGGAGTCCACACAGAACATTATCAAATTCCTAAACTAATTAATTAAAGCACTACTTAATCATACAAAGTGCTTCTGCATTAAGCTACTCAAAACATTAATTACTTAACCCCTAAAGTGTCTTTGTGAATATATTCTTATTGTTATTTCCTAAGAGGGGAGATGGATGCTCGGAGAAGCCATATATTTCCAAGAACTACAGAGTCAAATCCTTTAGCCTCTTGATCCAAAACAGATGCCAGGGAACCAGCTGCCAACTGGGAGACCCCATTCCTGCCTCCTGGGTGACTCTGCGTTAATTCAGTACAGAATTGAGACAGAGATTTGTGAGATAAATACAAAAGAAAATTACAGACTTTCCAGCTACTAGAAGGAGCTCAGTGATTTTCTTATGATCCAGAGTCCTATGGCTCCTTGAACTAAGGGTTCCATAAAAGACAGCACAGAAAACAAGTCTTGCATCACTAGCTTTTAAGATAGAAACTTTGAAAAACCACTGAATGAGGTAAATTAATGGCATATTACATTGTACTTTGTGTGCTGATAACAGTAAGAAATTAATCTCTTTCCTACCATTTAACTTCCTAGCATTCAGAAACTACTAAATTAATAGGTATGCATCTACATTTCATAACACATAGCTCATTTCTGAATTCTCACCTTGAACATTAATGGTTTCTCCTGCTCAGCTCAAGACAACAGGATTACCTTGTTTGATGAGATTTTCCCTAAGCGTTGATCTAAACGCCAAACACATATGGGGCTAGCATAATCTTCTTGAATTTGGTGATACAGACAATCTCATAAAACTTTTAGGGTTCAACTTCTAGTGATGACTCCAGTGTGATTATGAAGCATTTGGTGCACAACAAAGTCCTGAATTTGAGCTGCAGTGACAACATGTGCAATACAGCCAACAAGGAGGGAAAAGAAAAGTTACGTGCAACCATTTCAATCACACAGTTTACGGCACAGGGTTGTGATAAATGCTTTGTTATTCCCACATTTTTATAATTGCCCTTCCATTCCTTCAAAGAAGGAGTGTAGTCATAATCTGTTTGGCTTTGAGGAGTTCAAGAGGAAAGCATACAGTTTAAGTGTATTTAAGTATACATGCCCTTAATAACATGCTTTAACTTTTGGTCAGCCCTGAATTGGTCAGACAGTTGGACTAGATGACCACTGCACGTCCCGTTAAACTGAGCTAATCTGTTCAATTTGATTCTATTCCATCCTATCATGTTGGTGACAGCAGCCACAGACTCCAAGGTCTGGCAGGGTGGTGCCTCTGTCCAGCTGGGGGGGCCAGGGATCTGCAGCAGCAATGCAAGAGCTCCAGGCTAATGGGATTCAGAAAGGGAACTTTTTTCCCAATAAAGCCCCATTACAGAGCATGCCTACTTACATTAATAATGAAACTAAGCCTGCCCTTTCCAGACTCTTAGCCCTCTTTTTTCCAAAAGAGCACTGACAGCAGCAGTAGCCTTCGCTCATACTTCCCACATCATGAGGGTTAATGGGGCCACCCTTCTAAATGAGGTGGCAAGACAAGCTTTACAAGGCTCAGAAAATTATCTTTCTCTGAAAATAATAAAATTGAGTAGATTTTTCTCTCTATTATAATGGAATTTTTTAGGGACTAGATTTATCTCATATAGACCACCAGCAATGAGATAATTTTCAGCCAGTAGTAAGATAAATATATATATTTTTCTAACTCAAAACAACTTCAAAGATGCTTCACAGAAGACTGAGTCCAAACCAAATTAGAACTGTAGATTAAAAATACATTTACAAAAGGTGTGTGTATAAAAGGCTCAAAGAGATTTCTCAGTTCAGGAAACAAAACCTGCATTTTGGTTGCTTTTTTTCCTTTGCAGACAGATCATTCAAAGGAAGCCAAAACCATACATTCATTGAGAACAAGCACATGGAGAACCCAATGGGGATTTTCCTCAATTACAGTGCTTTAAGCATACTTAACATCAACATCTTCCATGTTTTTTCCTAAACTACTATTTTCACTTTGTCTATACCCATCATTTTTGTGAGGTATGTCTTTAAACCAGTCTGTTAACATATGGAATTAGTGTGCCCTTTTTTGCCACACCACTGTGGGGAGAGAACTTCATTCTTTATCGAGTCTGGAAGTACTCACAGTGACAGCACCCAAATAAGGATCTGAACAGCAGCTGTGAATTTTAGTGTTATAATATTATTAATTTAAGCCTTCTATAAAACAGTTTGTTAGGGATGGGCATGAGGGAGAGGAACATTATAGGAATTTCTGTAATTTAGTACCTCAGAGTGATGAACAGCAGAATATGTCTTCAGGCACTTATCTCCAAATCATTGTTTCCTTGCTTGTAAGGTAGAGGCAGGGAGTGTTTTATTCACAATATTTCAGAAATGGCTAAATGCAGCTCAAAGGACAAAACTTTTAGAATATGCACTTTACTTAGGCTTTGAACCTGCTAGAATCTGGTAGGATTTACATATTACAGAAAAAACGATCTTCAGCTCCAGAAATAGTGAGGTATAGTCAATCTCTATTATATTCTAAACTTTGCTGTCATTATAGTAAATGAAAAATCTTTCTCAATCCCAAACAATTCAGGCAGTTGAAACTGGGTTATGGGGAGGGGTGACACACAACACAATTAGCATTAATCTTATGGAGGTAAGGAGGTACCAATAAAATTCTAGGAATAATTCTAATCCTAGAGTAATACCTCTCCTGCATAGAGGTAACAAATATTTGATGAAATCTCATCATTCTGTAGGAAGTCTTTTTGATATACCTCAGTGAAAGAGGTCTTTGCCTGTTTGATTCATTTGCTCATGACAGCAAGAACAAAACACCAAAACTGACAAATACAAATTTTCAGTGGTCTTTATTAAGATATACATATTTACATATCCAGGACAAAACTGAAAGGCTCTCATCTACCTTTCCCAGAGGAAAATAAGGAAAGAGGTAGGATTTAAGACTGTTTTGAACATAAAACTCTACTCTTCGCAGACGTTGCCATCTACCAGCTCTTATGCCCATGCCACTAGTTGCATGACATTTGGTAATTTTGTTTACATCTTGATTTACTCCAAAATAGTTCTGCCAGGGATAAAAGACAGGAGACCTGTTGAGTAAAAAAAAAAAAGAATTAATTAGAAACTTTCAGATATTGAAGATCAGACTGATTTTCTTCAAAAAGAATACTCACTAGGCTGAAGAATGCCTTCACTCATTTTCTAAAACATTAAAGTGCACCTCATCCAATACCTTCACATTCTTTACTATAATAAAAGTGGGAGCAGTTTTTTACTGTATGTTCTAATATGAAGAAGAAAACTGTGATGTTCTACCAGCATGCAGAAAAAGTGTATCTGAAGTAGTGCTGTATTATGTGCAATATAAAATTAAGTGTGGCAGAATTATGCAGTATGCTGTCCCTCATCAGCACTGATAAACGTCAAGTGTTTTCACAAATGGAACAATAGCATCCATTATGTTGTCTCAGAATACATATGCTTCATAATTAACATTATTAGAAGAGGAAAACTCTGTTCTGTAAAAGCAGTGCAGTTAAATGACATTCATAATACCTACCATGAAGTCCATTAACCTCAGCAATTTTAGTCATCCATGGCATTTCAGATTTCTCACAGCTTCAGAACTGTGGGCAGCTTCACAGGCTTTTTGCAAAGTTTCTCATGACTAGGACATCTGTAAAATTCCCTTCAGACCTTTCTTCAATTCATCTCTTATGTACTCAGTAATTCACATCTCTGAATAAGGATAAAGGTACGTCCTTAAAATCATGCTTTACTGAACACAATATTTAAAAAAAACAAACAAACAAACAAACTTATTTGTAATTTTAGGTGTTGTAAGATATTAAAAGCACACTGTTTCCTGTTTCTTAATCTTACCTTTTTTTCCCAGTTCAGTGTGAGTTTTTGATGAGCAGCGTTCCCAGTTGAGTCTCATAGTGAGAAGTCAAAACAATCAGATATCAATCTTCTGGCCTTTACCAACTAATTCACCATTTAACATAGGTGTCTTCAAAGGTTTTATCAACTTCAGGTGAAAAAAACATATATATTTTATAGTCATACAAAACAGTGCAATACTGCCTGATGTGTTGCTTAGAGACAACAGCTCAAAGCAGAATCTTGAAAGATTCAACAAATTACAACATTGTGTGAGTATCAGTGGCTAATATTTTAATGTTCTGGTTTCATATTTTGTAGAAGTGATTTTCAAACCAGAAGATAGCACAGGGAATCCACTTCTCTTTAGGTAAATAGACATTGAAAGTTCTCTCTTTTAGTTTTTAATTTCCACTTAGTTGCTCTTGAGTTTGGCCTCTCTCCTGAGGTTCATTTTGCTGAAAATTTTTGTTATTCAATAACAGTGAAAGAAAGAGTATTAAATACTGTTTCACTGTTAAATTTTCTTCTTGCCTGTGTACTCAGGAAATAAGAAAGGGTAGAAACGGGATGCTAAATTTTGTCATAGTGGTTTTTGTTAATTTCTTCAATCCACAGAGAGAAGAAATTGATGCATCTTCATTAATTCTGATCTCATGAAACTGCTGTTCTTTTTGTGCAAGGAATTGACTCAGATTTCATCATCAAAACTGGAACAGAACCGCTATAACAATAACACCTTTAAGTTACCTCTTATTATAATGTACTCTTAGTCCTGCCTCTGACATAAATACTTTTGTATTTCTGATACAGATATATGAGGCCTATCTGAAGAAACATACAATGATGATGCTAAAGGAATTCAGAGATCAGCATGCACAGAAGAGGATGCCATCTCTTCTTCACTAGCTAGCAGTGCTAAATAATGTTGCACTACATACACAATGTAATTCAATATGAAAAAGATATTTAGACCCTCAGAGCATGCTAAAGTCTAAGAAATACAAAATACACTGGATCTTATACCCCAGGGCATATACCTAATTTACGTTAGTGATAGAGAAGAGGCGATATATGCACTCTCAGAAGTCATATCCTACCTATCCAACTTGCTATTCATTTTGTGTGATGCAGACTCTAGATAGAGCCCCAAAATGGCATGAGTAGACAGCTTTAACTGGTCTAGATTACCCCTAAAAAAAGCCCTGTATCTTAGCTGTTTTAGGGTTTTCAGTCTAAGGGTAAGGCTGCAAAGCCCAGAATTTTTAAGGACTACATGTGCTTGCAGTCTCATGGACACAGCGACAAGACACAAAAACAGATTTGTAATCTGAACTCAACAAGGGAAAGACGGGTGCTTTAGAACTTGCTTGTACTACACAACTAAATTTGCTAAACTAAAAGCTAAGTCTGCAAGGGCTTGTTGTACCAGCATAGTTATAAACTACCAACTCCTATGGAACAGAGTCAGCAACCCTACTGAAAGGCTTAGCGTGCTTCGTTACAGTTGTGCCACGTGAAACCCCACTTCGCCAGCGTAAAACTCATTGTGGCCTGGCAGCTTTCCTACTCGAGATATTGGCCCTAGTTTAAGCACACTTTTTGGCAGAGAGATGTCTTAACTCTCCGGGGATTTCTGGACAAGGTCTCTCTGGAAGCTGCTCAAGCCGCCGGCCATGCGGCAGAGCCCATCGAGCCCCACGGAACGCCGGGGACTCTGCTGCAGCACCACCCTCCGCTCCCCGCAGCTCCCACGGGCGCCCGTGGGGATGCTCTGAGTCACAACTCCTAACATAAAACCTCCGTCTGCAAGAAGGTTCCTTCTTTACAAGTAGGGAAAAAAGAAAGCCAGAAGGTGGCTTTCATCTGCAGAATGATGCTGTAGCCGATATCCCGCACCCTCAGTCAGCTCCATGTTTGATTTTAACTTGTCCAAATAGGTGTGGGGGGAATTTCATATTTGCTTGACATGCAAGCGATGACACTTCAAATTAAATACAAATAATACAGAGAGAAATGTATTTTTGTACTTTTTAACACATACCAGTGCTGTCTACAAGTCACTTTTTTTTTTTCCCCAAAGAGAACTATAAACTAAGCAAACACCAAGAATATGTTTGATAAAGGAGAGTATCCAAATTTGTAAGATACACTTTCTAAAGGTCATTTTCTGTAATGTTACAGTGATCGCCACCTGATTAAATTGCCTACTATTCCAAATTTAATGAGACACTGAAAATTCTCAATGGTAATTGGGACAGCCAATTCTTTAAAGAGAGAAAGTGAGTGGGTAGCTAGTTGAAGTACAGAATAATGCTTATTAGTGTGGAGGTGGAAGAAGTCCTTACTGAGAAAAACAATTAAAAACTATTTTATTTGTAAAACATTGAGTTTTTATTTGTGCTACTTCACAGGAGTCCTGGATACAGTATCAATGCCATAACAGGTGGGAAAAAAATAAAGAAGGAAAAAGAAGATCCAACAGCCAATAAGCCAGCACTCTCTCCCCTGCCTACAATTGCATGCTGTATGGTAAATTTAATGATTCCACATTTTTCAGTACAAAAGATCTGCAAGTATTGTCAGGGACTCTCCAAGTGATTTGTGTCTTGCCCTGTTTTTCTTAAAAGTAAAAAGTTTGTTTATCCAAATGAAGCCATTCCAAGAAACCCAAATACACAGAAAGATATAAAGACAAGTACAATAATGACTATCTGATTGAACACTACAGAACCACTACATTAGGAAATAAGAAATAACTGCAGATTAATTAATATAAAGTCCCATACAGGCACCAGGTACAATTTATGCTTCTGCAATAGGATTATCAAAAAGATATACTGGGGGTTGAAATGGTACTAAAGTAAACTGCTAATAACTATGTGGTTCAAATGTGCATTCGGAACACAAAGATAAAAAGAAAAATGACTATTTAAATCATAATCAGATTTTTTTTCCACGTAAAAGAGTCCATTTCATATAAATATTATTTAAAGGAAATCCCATGAACTGTATTACACAAAACATCAAGGAAGAGGCAATTGCAATAGACCTTCTGGGTTCATAATCAACAAAATTACTGATATTTTCATGCCTTTAAGCCTGCAACTCCATCTTGATATTCACATTTTACCCTGACTGCAAAATGCATATCAAAACTCCAGACTGACTTATTTGTAAGTTAAAATGTGTCATAAAAGCAAAAATGCAGTTTATTAAAAAAAAATTGCAAGCACTTAAGACTGTTTTAAAAATATCATTGAAAGATGGTAACTCAGTGGTTCTAAATTAAAGGAAAAAAATAGCATAAGGAAAATCTTTAAGACTGTTCCAGTTCTGTGAAATGACTAGTCCAGCTATCAGGAGCTATGACAAGTCTGGGAATGTCAGGTCACAGCCTAGAGGATCATACAAGCACTCCAGCAGAAAAGCGCTCTGTCAGAAGCTGTATTTGATGTTCCTTGTCCATTCTATGCCAGGAAGAAGTCAAAATACAGATGAATTGTGATTCAAGACTGGGGTTAAAATCTGTCCTCAAGCATATGACTGCAGTTTGTTGCTCAGTTGAAAGACTGACTTGTTTTCTACTTCCCAATATTCTTTTTTTTCAGAGTAGGTATTTTATTTGGAATCATATCTGGCTGGGTGAAAAGGACAGACATCACCTGCTTATTCATCCATCTGGTATAAAATGCTTAACAAGAGTGAGAGTGGCAAAATGTGCAAAACAAACAGCAAGCTCAAGCTGTAAGTAGCAGAAGAAGATATTGAAGCATGAGCAGCCTGGCCTTTCTTCCTAACAGCCAGGAGAAATGGACTTCAGTAAAACTTTATTTCCTTTTTTAAGATAAAGCAAATGCAGGTTCAGGCAATTCTCACCAGGTCTATTATTATTTACAGTAGGCCCAGACATCACTCTTGGCATCCTGTTCAAGGAGAATAGGGGGAGGGGGAGAATGCCAACAACTTTCAGCAGAAGGCAGTCTTAACTCTGCACAGCACAGTCATTCTAGTGTGCGATGAAAAGTGACTTCATTGCTAATTAGGGCTTACTAGTGCTATCGCATTGTAAGCTATCACAAATAATCAAACAACAAAAAAATATTAGAAATGCCCAGGCACAGTAGTACTTTCAGATTGCCTACAGAAGGCGTTCAGGTTAGAAAACACGTTCTTGTTTTGAAAATCTTCTAGCTCCCTGAGGAGACTGAAATCCTTTTGCCTGTACCATGAATCAAAATTACTTTTCCCTAGCCAAATGGTATTAGCCCTTCAGGCTTGGAGGCAGATACCCCAGTCCCTGGTAAGATGTCTTCTCTGCCCTCAGACCAAGCAATTTCTGAGGCTTTTGATTTCAAGTGAACAAGGAAGAAATCTTTGTAGACCCTACTGCTCACAGGAAAGCTACCCTTGCACCACCTCTTTTCCATACCCCCAACCCCTCGTTTCCTGCAAGAGGCGGGAGGGACACAGCAGAACAAGATGTCTGAGTAGATGAAAGGTTTCACAAAAGTTTGCATAAGCTGCACGGGAACCTTATCTATCAATAATTCGTATCAACCCTGCAGCTCTTCTAACTTCAGGAGGGGTCCCGTAGCACTTATCTCTTGTCAACCTCATGTGCCCATGACTGGACATCAGGAAGAGGGACTGCACCAGCTCAAGGTTTATTCTGACGCTTGGAACATGTTGTAACCTTGCTCCAATTAAAAGGAAGCGTGCTACATTAAATATCCCTTTACCTCATTGTATGCCCTTACCAGGTAGAGGTTTTTGGACCTGTTTGAACATGGTTATGTAATTATGATCGAACTCTGTTCTGACAAAGAGGAAGTTTGAAGAAGTTCCTCCTCCCTCCCTCATAAGGATGGGACAGTGAGGAGTACCTGTGGCAGAGCCTGATCATCCTGTGTGAGTCTTCCCTCACTTTTCAGTGTTTGAGTTAAAAATAAGAACCTAACAATGTTTATTCTCTAATTGAACTTTCAAGCCTCTGTTTACCAAATGGTTTGTAATTCTGGGAGAAGGGAAAATAAAAAACAACAGCAAAAAAAAATCCCAGAGAAAAAAAAAAAAGACTAAGGAGGAAGAAAGACTGTAAAAGCTATCTTAAATGCTTGAGCCATAATATTTCTAGGAC